CCCCAAAACCCCAAAACCCCAAAACCCCAAAACCCCGAAATAAGATATCATGATTGAATTCACTCACAATTTGTTTCACTCAAAGTTAGGACTAACACTCGTATCTCAAAAATAAGTTTGAGAGTCTATTAAAAAAAGGGAATTAATGTACCAATTTAGATCTGTAATTCTCTGATAGTTTTGGTCCCAAATCACAAGAAGTCTGAAAGAATCTTGATATTATTATCATATTGTTCTAGAATTATTAGAGCATCTCCGAAGACACCATACATATTAAGAAAGAGTTTGGCTTCATTTGAGAGCTCCTATCTATTAGATAACAAGGCTCTTGGATCCCACTCACCAAAGTAATTTATCCTTAGAAACTTTATAAACAGGGAATTTTTAATAAAAATTAAATAATTTTAAATACATATTCAATAGAAATGGAACTCAACCTTAAAAATATGAAGAATATTAGAAGATTCTCTAAACCCAAGCCAGTCACAAAGATTATAAGCACAGATATTCGCAGTATGGCTAGGAAAGATTTGAGTGCTGACAAATTTGTAAGCCTCTGTTAAATATTTATTCTGACTTAAATATCTAGGACACTAACATTTCCAGCCATATTCCTAAAAGCCAGGGTAATCCCTTAGGTACTCAAAATTCGGCTTCAATCGATTTACCCATATCAAACTTTAATTCCCTGAATGGGCTTCAGACTCAGACCTTGAACACGAAGTCATCCTTTTGCAACATTAAGACTACAAATAAATTTGGCTCTTCACTACTACCTGCCCTGCCAGAGTCTCCTGCTCAACTCATTGCTCACAAGAAAATGCTAAAACTCGATGGGCTCTCATCATTCGCCTCATCAACAAAGACTCTAAAACAATCTTGCTCAAAACTAAAAAGTAAGCTACTGGCTCACCAAGTTAGGAATCAAGATAATAAACCTTAAAAGAGGCAGGAATAATTCTAACTTGATCTCACTCAAGAAAGCTAGTGCACAAGGACTCAAGATGTCCCATTTCAAGAAACACAGCAGGAACACTTCCAATAAAGTACAGTTATCATTAAAGCCGATTATAAAAATTTCTAAGAAGTTTGCTGGTGAAGAGCCTGATAGAAATAAACCTTCAAAATTTTCTTCCAAAATTAATGGGATTAAGTAAGCGACAATAACCTTAATATTAAATAGAATTGGGCCTGGTAACAAGCAATTCCTATCTAGAGAGTCTATCATTGATCTCAAGATGTTCTTCAACCGTAGAGGCAAGAAATAAAGGATCTAATTTTTTTAAAGAATAATTCATAACATTATTCCTTGATTAACGAGCTCTTATTTTAATATATTATGGACTATTTCAAAAATTGTAAAATCGAAGGGGTTTTGGGGTTTTGGGGTTTTGGGGTTTTGGGG